TAGCTCCCCTGAAAGTAATCTCTATTCCTCGTTTAGAACTCTGCTCTGCAGTTCTATTAGTGCATTTGGTTCAAGCTAGTGTGCAGAATTTCATTGTTAAATTCATGTTGACGATATTTACGCATGGAGTGATTCAATGATAGTTTTGTCCTGGATACAATCAGAACCAACACGCTGGCAAACCTTCATAGCCAACCGCGTTTCAGAAATTCAATCAGTCTTACCTTCATCGCATTGGAATCACATAAAAGGAAAGGAGAATTTAACTGATTGCGCATCAAGAGGTCTTTTGCCTTCAGAGCTTTCTACTCATGACTTGTGGTGGACAGGTCCTCAGTGGCTTAATTCAAATAATATTCCGTTCTCTATCAACTTACCATTTTCAGAAGAGTCTTTAAGGGAACAACGGAAAAATATTTCTTGTTCAATTGGAACAGTCGCTTCGCAAATTCCAGTTCTTAATGAAGTTCCATCATTCTTGAAACTTAAAAGAATCATCACATGGTGTTTTTGGTTTGTGAATAATTCAGCTAAATCTACCGAAACAAGGATTAAGGGTTACCTTAAAACCGAAGAACTGCAATACGCTAGAAATGCAATTGTTAAAGTAGTTCAAATGGATGAGTTTTTTAATGAATATAATCTTCTGAAAAAGAATCAACCGTTAAACTCGAATAGTAAGATCCTTTCTTTGAACCCCTTTATCGATAAGAATGGACTTATACGCGTCGGAGGAAGATTAAAACAATCCAATATCGCGCAGGACAAAAAATATCCTATTTTGTTGCCCAAGAAACATTACATAACACAGATTATAGTGAATCATTTTCATATATCCCATCTTCATGCCGGCACCCTGCTATTGCTATCAGTAATTAGAAGAGAGAATATTGGATAATCCACGCTAGGTCAGTTGTAAGTAAGACACACGATTTGGAAATGTGTGAAATGTCATCGTGTACGAGCTAAAACATCTACCCAGATAATGTCTGATTTACCATCGTCTAGAGTCGTTCCATCAAAGGTTTTCTCCAAAGTTGGAATTGACTACGCCGGGCCATTTCAAGTGAAGCCCAGGCAAGGTCGAGGAGTAAAACCAATGAAATGCTACATTTGTGTATTCGTGTGTTTTCCTACAAGAGCTATACATATTGAATTAGTAGGTAATCTTACATTAGAATCATTTATTGCCGCTTTGAAGCGCTTTGTATCTCGAAGAGGAAAACCAATGAAAGTTTTTCCTAGCTCAGATAATATTGTGCGTATCGTGAAGATCAAAACTGCTAACGGAGTTTTCAAAAGGCCAATTCAAAAACTTAGTGTTTTGCCTATCAATGGTTAAGTATTTTTCCCTAAAGCATTATAACATTGTACTTTACTTTAACTATAATTAAGTTCCTGAATTGTATCAAGGCTTTTGTGCATCTGTTTTGAGAACAATTTAGTTTCATTGCATAATTTCATATTATGTTTTCTTGTGAATATTTTAATGATACATTTTTTCATAATTTAATATTGTTATGATAATTTCATTTTGTAAATGCTGTTTAGTTTAAAACGATGTTTCAATGCTGGGCGGAATGTTTCGGCCACCAGAGCTCTCTGCCTGTCTGTGAGAGATTACTTCACAATACGCAGATTGTATGCGCAGCTCGCATTTTGTTCTTGCATTCTTAAAACCGCTAATTGTAACTCTGTCGCTTTTACTTTGTGCTGTGTTGTGTTCGAAAGTTCAAACTACCGAATAAAGGTTAATTTACAGTCCACTCGCAGTGATGTATTCTTAGGTTTATTAATTTAAAGTTAAGATACCGCTTCGCTACAACATTCTTATGCAAAACTTTATGAAATTTTGCTGAGTTTTCAACAATTTCACAGTAAACATTTTTTTTCACTGTACATTTCAGAACACGATGCAACTGTAGATGAAAGTCTGGTAAGGGTAGATTAGGATGAATCCAATACATGCCAGTAAAATGATCTCACACTGGGATCAAGACATTTATGTTATGCAAGAATAAGACTCGATATATTTTTTCCAGTATTATTAAAACAGGAAAAGGCACAAAGCTTGAGAGTGATTTTGAGCATCTTGGTATGTCTAGTCGAGTGGTTATGTCACTGATGAAACCATTGCTAGGCAAAGGATGTTGTTGAACACCGATAATTATTATACATCTGCACAGCTGGTCGATGCATTGGTGCAACAATGTTCTTCTGACAGATATGGCACAGTGCATGCAATTAGAAAGGAGATGCCATCTAATTTTTAAAAAAATAAGAAAGGCGATGTTCTCGCTTTTCAATGTGGGAAAATTGACTGCTATAAAATGGCACGATAAAAAGGACATTTGCATGATTTCTTCAATCCATACTGCAGAAATAATTGATTTAGAAGATAAGAAAAAAAAAAAAAAAAAAAAAAATTGAAGCCAAAAGTAGTTCATGACTACAACACTAAGGGAGACGTTGATTAAGTTGATCAACATCTTACAGACTACCCATTTGCAAGAAAATGGGGTAAAAAAATATTACCAAAAGATATTTTTTCATCTCCCAGACCAGGCATTATGGACTGGTCTGGGAGATGAAATTCAGCAGGAGGTGCAAAAAATAATATGAACTATAGAATAGCAATTGTGGAACAAAATAAGCCAAATTTTCAGTTACCAGGAACAGACCAACCCGGTATAAGCTTGCAGGTCCACACTTTCCTAAGCACATTCCACCAATGGAAAAAAAAAATCTACTCCAACCAGACAGTGTTTTATATGCTATCGTAAAGCCAATGAAAAAGGGAAGAAGATATGACATGAGACACAAGTTTACTGACTGCAGTTTAAGACTGCAATATGGGCTTGTGTGCAGTATCGTGTTTTGGCATATATCATGCCGTAAAAGATTTGTGAAATTTGAATATTCAAAATCATATTGTTGTATTAACATTTGTTTATATTAAGGCTTCAAAATTTTGTTTAACTTGCCGTAATTGAATAATATATGTCTGTAATCCATTACTTTTTTATATATATTTCAAAATAGTAAATAGAATAGTTATTGCATTTAAAATTATATTTTTTCACTAAATAACCCATTTCTAACTTTTATATTGATATAGAGAAAACAATTAAACAGAGAAAAAACGCTTTCTGTATTTAATGCATTTTTCTGAAATATACACCACAGTTAAGGGGTTAAGAGTGAAGACAAAGGTTTTTATGCGAAAAGATGGAGTGCATTTTACACTTCCTCTAGCATTACATTCTGATCACCATATTGTTAAAAGTTTAATTATATGGAAACACCAAGAACTGGGGGATATGCCAGTGTACAGTATTTAATGTCAGCATTGCAAGATTATTGGATATTAAAAAGTAGGAAAATAGTCAAGAAAATCATAAAGACGTGTTCTGCTTGTAAAAGATACTATGAGAAACCTATGAATGTATCTGCAAGATTTTTAGCAGAAGATTGTGTTGGAGAACCTTTAGTTACTGAAGTCATTAGAGTAGACATTTGTGATTCCCTGCATTTAAGAAATGGATCTAAGAATTGGACAGTATTGTTTACTTGTGTCATTTATTAAGTTGTTCATATTAAGCAAGAAATATCATTTTCTAGGAATAGTTTTATTCTAGTGTTGAGAAGATTTATTGCGAGAAAAGGTCTCCCTAGAATTATCTATTTTGACAATGGAATAAATTTAGTGGGTACTGCTATGGAACTAAAACCAACTGACTGGTTCAGATTGCATGAATTCACACTGTTTAAGAGGATTACCTGGAAATTCAATCCACCATCAGCATTCTGGCAGGGTGGCTTTTGGGAGTGTCTAACAGACATGCTAAAAACATACTTAAGCATGCTTTAGGTATGCTTGTCTAGATTATGAAGACCTACACACAGTACTCTGTGATGCAGAAAATATCATGAACAGACCCTTGACCTACATGTTTGAACACAGCAATGATCTTATATCCTTAATTTATATAATGTAGAATGTTCTTACAGGAAATAAAAGCGGGAGTTCCAGATTTAGATCTAATCGATTCAAGCAAGGATAACAAGTGTTATGCTTATAGGCAAAGAATTAGAAAAAGCCCAGAAAATGATTTAGAATTGAATATTTAGGACAGTTGAAAGAATATTACAAGACTACAAAGAAATAAAATTAGGAGGAAGGGACTCGGAAACAACATGCTTCTTGGAAACAACAATGTGAAAAAAAAAAACAAATCATGCTTAGCCAAAGTGATTAAAATGTATCCTGCTAAAGATGGACAATCCCTAGAAAAAGAGACAATGAATGAACCTGTGACTTTAAAAATTGTTGAGCTTCAGTTATAAATCTCTGAATCTCAAAAGGGTGAGAGTATTGCAAATGTTCTCCCACCTCTGAAATTATGACCATAACTTTAATGAACTCTAAGTTTTAATTTCGAATTGCAGCCATGCAAAATATTTGAGTATAGTTTGTAAAATGCCAAAAAATATGCTTGTAACTTTAATGCTTTATTAGGTGTTTTCAAAATATTAGATCACTGTGAAATCTGATAAATTTAATATTTAAGCAAAGAAGATATTCATCATCTGAGGACCCATTTACAGAAATGGTAGAAGAAAAGTCAAGGTTGCTTTATTGAACATTCTGAAACAGCTACAATAAAAATTACATTTATTTCCTGTCACTTACAGCAACATATTCTGCAGAGGGAGACTTCTTTCAAATCACTAATACTTTGTGATCATTTTTAACTGTTAATTAATGTTTTCAAAAACAGTAAATATGAAGAGCATAAAACCAAACTTTAGAGTATAACAGAACAGACAACTTCTGCCATGTCTATTTTGCGAAAATTATAGATTAAAAAAAAAAAAATAAGATTTTTGCAGACGACAAAATGTTTACCTATTAATTTTCAAAAAAGGAATTTCCTTATCATTACATATACACACAGCTATACATGAAGCAAATTAAACAGTCATACATAAACACTTACCTGTATTAGTATCCTGAGTATTTGCTTGCAATTTGTAAATGAGCAGAAAGACTAGAGAGACGCAATCTAAGAAGATCTCGAAAAACTGCCATGTCAACTGACAAACCTCTTAAATGATTGGCAAAATAACTTTCAGGAAGTACTTCCTCAATTAAAAAAATCATCACCTGGTCATAAAATAACTATGTTAGTAATTAACATTAAAAAAATGCAAATTGATTACTAAAAGAAAAACCCAATTAAAATCAATAATCAAGAGACATTCAATAAAGTTTATTAATGAGTCATAAAATATTAACACACCAAGTTAAATACAGACTTTTTCTAACATTACTAAGAAACAATTCATGAAATGTTCTAAGATACACAATATATACCATCAGAAATTATTATCTTTTTGCCATAATACTATCGAAATTCATAATTTTTTTAATTGTTATATATTATAAATTAAACGTATTTTAATTTTATCAATTAGATATACAGTGGTAGAAAAAATTCTGGACACTTTTGGAAATTTTTATGTTTTTGAATTTTGTATGCTTATAGAAAACGTTACGTTTCGCAAAATGCAAACTTGTATATATCATTTTAAAGAGAATTTATTACTGAATTCAATACAAAACACAAAATTCAATTATTTGCTATACAAAAAAAGTTAAAAGATAATAGTTATCGATATACATTAGATAGTGATGATCGCAGTGAGTTATCAGTACTTAGTAGGGTACCCTTTATTTTTTATTACAGCTTCACATCGACGTTTAATTAAGCTGACAAGAGTTTTAAGCTCTTCTTTCGTTATTACATGATGCCAGGAAACTATTATAGCGACAATTAGTTCCCTTTTATTTGATGGGCGCCTCATTCGGACAAGAGTTTTCAAACAGTGCCACAAATTTTCGATAGGACTGAGGTCAGGACTGTTTACATGACAACAATTTAATGCTCTTTGTACGAAACCACTCTTTCGATATTTTGGCCGTGTGGCAAGGAGCAGAATCCTGCTGAAAAATAAACGAAGCATTGTTGGGAAAGAGATCTCTGATGGAAGGTAGAAGTTTTGGTTCTAGAATAGTGTCAATGTATTTTCTGGCATTCAGTGTCCCATCGATGACATGAAGGTGACCAATACCATCTACTGACATGCATGACCAAATCATAACATTAACTGGGTTCTTCACAGTTGCTTGAATGCAGTCAGGATGTAGCTTTTCTCCTATTCTACGTCTTACATATTTTCGCCCATCACTATAACGATATCTTAGTTTCATCACTCCATGTAACTTTTGACCACTGATAATCTGTCCAATTAATGTGTCCTTTGCCCACTGTAGTCTTTTTTTTTTCATTGCTGAAAATTAAGATAAGGCTTTTTTCATGGAATTCTATCTCTCAGTCCAACGTCTGTTAATCTTCTCCTTATTGTTCTTGAACTGACAGAAACACCACCATCATTCAGATCACTTCTGATGGCCACTGATGACATTTTTCTATCTTGGAGACAGTCTTTTTATTCTTCTGTCATCAATAGATGTGGTGCACCTTTTTCGGCGTTTTCCTTCTTTGTTTTTTATTGAATTTGTCTCCTGATATCGTAAACAAAATTTTAGGACTCCAGATGCAATCACTGAACGACCCACCTGTCTTGCAATTTCAGCATAGGAAAGACCACTTTCTCGTAACACAATAATATTACATCTTTTTCTAGGTGTCCAATCTACTCTTTTATTTGATGTCATTGCTTTTTGACTAACCATTAAAAATTTTTACAAAAATTCCTACTTTTAATTGCAGTGTATAAGAAACAGGTCCTCCTTCTACAGAACAGAGCAAAATAATGAATTGTTTCAAGTGTAAACATGATGTCAGCTTCTATTGGCAGTTACTAACATTTGATTGGTTCTCAGAACAAGAACAGTGATTGGCCAGGAAAGCTAGACATTACAAACCACTTCATAACTGTGTTTTTTATTTATATTAAAGTACATATAACTTTTTTTGTATTGCAAATAATTGAATTTTGTGTTTTGTATTGAATTCAGTAATAAATTCCGAAAATGATATATACAAGTTTGCATTTTGCGAAACGTAACATTTTCTATAAGCATACAAATTTCAAAAACATAAAAATTTCCAAAAGTGTCCACAATTTTGGCCAACACTGTATTATTAAGTATATTTAAATTATCAGGCAGATGCACTCAATAATTGTTTTTTAATTATTGAGGTTGTTACAAAATTACACACTGATTATATTACAGTTGAAAAATATATTAAAGATATTATACTTTATCATATTGGCAACACTTTAAGAATTGGCAACTTGCAAGACGCTGTACACAATAAGTTTAAAATCTTAATGTTTCACTCAGTGGCAACACTTACCATGTAGATGATAAATGCATATTAATACATTATGAGCGGGGCAGGTATTTGTACCCATTGCGAAGATTGCCACTAAAAAGCGAGGCAGGTATTTGTACCCATTGCGAAGATTGCCACTTATAAGCGGGGCAGGTATTTGTACCCGTTGCAAGGATTGTCACTTATAAGCGGGACAGGTTGCCACTTTTTAAAATAAGTAATTTTAAGTGACACAAGGAAAAAATAATGTTTTATCAAATATATGACTACATCTCAAAGAACGTAAAGTGAGATTGAAAAAATTCTGTCTATCTATATTTTAACGAATAATATTCTTCACAGCCACATGTTTCCACAAATTCGTTTTATGCGATGTTGTATGTTTATAGTCTATTAATGGAGCAGCTCGTAGAAAGAGATACATGTAATGTTGATATTGTGTAGGCAGTTGATACCACCTTCAATTCAAAGACAATGGATTACAATAGTGATAGTGATGTATATGCAGATGACTTGTCGCAGATTTCAAGTGATGCGGAATTTCCTGATTTAGACAGTGAAAGTGACGAGGAATTATTTCGACCTAGAAGAAATCGAGTTTTGCCAATACCATCATCTAGCAACTCCGAAGACAGTGATGACGAAGTCAACAACATATGTCAAAGTCAACAACAACAATCGTCAACAACTGATAATGTACCAATTATTGAACAATTCCTCGGACAAAGTGGAGTTTTTATAATGCCAATAAATTCAGAAAGTGTAATAGATGTGGTTAAGCTATTTTTTGGAGATGACTCATTTGAATATATGACAACGGAAAACAATCGGTATCGCGAACAAAACCTAGATGCATTTCGAGACAGAGCAAAATCTGTGAAGTGGAAGGATGTGAATATGGTAGATTAAAAAAAAATGCTCGGACTACTTCTCCTAATGGGACGAGTTCGTAAAGATACAAGAGACGAATATTGGTCTACAGATAAAACTATCCAAACTCCAATTTTTGCGGAAGTAATGAGCAGGGATAGATTTAGACAGATATGGTATGCGTGGCATTTCTCTAATAATGATGACAGAGATGGCCTGAAAAAAATCCGACCGATTATATCTTAGTTCTTACCTAAATTTCAAGAGGCTTATAAGGCAGAGAGAGAGTTATCACTGGATGAGAGCGTCATGCCATGGAGGGGCCGTTTGTCATTTAAAGTTTATAATGCAAACAAAAATTTTACTTATAAGAATGGTTGTGTGGGAGCTAAAACAGGATACATTTGTAATTTTCGCATGTACTGTGATGAAGGAAGTCATTTGCAAGAAAACGATTTTATTTTAAATCTGCTTGAACCCCTATTCCAACTTATTGGCATCACATATACATGGACAATCATTACAATAGTGTTGCGACTTGTGAATTACTTTTACAGAATAGTTTTTCGGACTTGCGGCACTATTCAGGTAAACAGAGGCCTTCCCAGTTTGTTGAAAAATCCTAAACTAGCAAGGCGGGAATCTATATTTTCGTCGCCGCCAGATAGAATATTATTATATAATGTTTGGCAATCAAAAAGAACAGTCCGAATGATTTCAACTATACATTCAGCTGACATTGCGGAAAGCTATAATATTGACTGCGCAACAGAACAAAGAATTGGAAAGCCAATATGCGTAATTGATTATAATAAATACATGAAAGGTGTTGATTGCGCTGACGAATACTTATTATATTACTCGATTGTGCGTCATACAAAAAAATGAAAGAAACGAGCTGTAATGTTTTTTATCAATTGTTCATTATTTAATGCGTTTAGAGTTTTTAAAGCATTAAATCTACATTAAAAAAAAAGTATAAGATGTTTTTACATTATGTTGCAAAGGAATGGATTAGCGAAGCTCTTCCTAGCAATACAGATTATCCTGTACAAGGTACATCCGCTATGTCCAGCAGAAGTGATCCTCCAGGGAGATTATCAAAAGATCCCAAAAGGCATAAATTGGTTAAAATTACTACTGATGGAACAAAATTGAAACCTCAAAGAGAGTGTCACGCATGTGCCGCACATAAGGAAAAAGTTTAACGTGTTATATGTGTGAATTTTGTAAAGTTTTGCTGCATCGTGGAGATTGTTTCTTCAAATATCACACTCAAGAAAAATATTAGGAACTAGCTTTGACTACACCAAACTTTATAAACTAGTATATTGTCTTGTATACAAGGGTGTTTGTGGGACCCCAAAAAATCCCCTGAAACTTTTACGGACTTACTACCGACATTTTGGAGTTTCGAGAAGGGGGGGGAGAGAAATGAAAAATTACAATTATGAAGTATTGAATGACCTAATTATAAAAGTTCAATGAATTACTTTTTTTTTTGCAAAATTAATAAACCATAAATTTTCAAACATATAAACTACTACATTTTATGTAAATATTTTAAATTACCTGAATTAATTCTTTAAAAAAAATTATCTAATTTCTGCTGCTTTTTTTTTTTTTTTATTTTCTGATGTTTGAGGGCTTGTCTTTTCTTTTGTGGTGAACTTCATAATTACAGGAAGGTTGACTTTTATTTTCCTCATTTACAGTTGAAGAAATTTCCCTCGAGAACTGCACATGCAGAGGTAGAAGCAGTTTTTTGCTTTTCTGCTAATGTAGAAGGTTTTTCAGAGACTTTTATAGGTGAACTCATCTGAAATACATGTTTTTAAGTCCTCTTGATATGTTTTCCAACTTCTGTTCATATTCAGTAAAAGATCTTTGTGAATTGGATCAGTCATCATTGGATTTTTTTAGCCATATTTTTCACATGAGGTTTCTTTAGAAGCCATTAATCATATATTTAATAGTCTGCACTGCATCTAGGGAATCAATCTTTAAGACAGGTTTCTATAGTCAGTGAACAAGTGTATCCATTAAGTTGAATGCACTTTCCACTAATGAGCCATGGAAGTAGCTAAAGCCGGCTTTGAACCAATTTAGCCAATGTAGGATACTTATAATCATTGTGAAATCATCTTTTAAATTAAAAACTTTAGACCAATATTTAACAATTGTACACTTGACTTGATTTTCACTTCATCAGATGTGTGTAGAGCATTTCTTTGGTGATATCAATATCACTCTGGTATAACCTTATTTCAGCTTCTACTTTTGACTTTTCATTATCACTAAAAATATGAGACATAAAAGATGATAATTTTTCAAAAGCTAATATTGTACTGGTTTTACCTCTTAACTCTGGATCTAATGCTGTAAAACTAATTAGATATGAATTTTTAAGGGGGTAATTTCTGTTTCATATGCCGTGCTGTATTAGTATAAGCTTTCATCAGAGAAATTTGGAATTCTTTTGCTATTGGATGATTTTTTGATAATTTCTTCAGGAGAGTGGAAGCTTCTGCACCAGTAAATATTACTTTGCTAGGTAGATGGAATTCTGGATTTGTGACATCAACCTTTAATAAATCATTATAAGATGTGCACTCTATATTTTCTGGCTTCATAAAAAAAGAGAAAAATTTTGCCATCAATTTATAAATACTGGAATGTATTAAATGAAGCATGGTTTTTTTTTGTTTCAAATAATTTAATATATGTGTTGAACTCTGGTAATACTGCTGAATATAATGCCATATACAATAAAGTTTTGTTTTGCATAACAAATAACCCATTTAGTATTTCTTTTTTCCGAGCTAAAGCATCCTTTGCGAGTTGTTGGGAATGCAAGCAAGAATAAAGAATACACCCCTTCAACAATTTTTTTTCTGAGCTGTAGAAAATATTTCTTTTATTGTATACAGTTTCAACATAAGAAAAATAATCCCCTTTATCAGTTTTATCCAAGTAGTGAAATAAAAATACAATAAGAGCATCCCACAGATCTTTGATTCTTTCTAAAAAACACATAAAATGTACACCCACCTATGGTCTGGTCTCTTCAAGGGCTTAAGTTTTTTAATGGCAAGGGATTCACAGATTTTGAAAAAATTTTCTCTTTTACTGCAGCTTTTCATATCAAAATAGATGTCATCAAACAAATCTTCTAAGTATCTATCAAAACATGACGCAAATTTTTTTGCACAGTTATTAGCCGTGTGACATGTGTCACCATCAATATCTAATAAGTGGGGTGCTTTGTTTGATCGTAGTCTGGTTTCAACACTCCTTTTTTTTCCCACGCATGGTGTTACATGAGTCCATTAATACACTAATTAAGTTTGCCCATGGAATATTATCTTCAATAGTATTAACAACTGCTTTAAAAACAGCTTCTGAATTGCAAGATTCCATCTTTAGAGATGCAAAATGATGAACTACAACTTCATTTTGATTGTTGTCATAAAACTGCACCAATATTGCCAGTATACTTTCTTGAGCATTGCTAGTACTTTCATCCAAATTTAGAGAAAATGGAGTCTCCTTTAAAGTTTTAATGATATTTTCCTTAATAGTTTTTGCAAGCCCATATTTTATCTTATAACATGCAGTAGTCCTGGACATTTCCAACGAGTTTAGTGCCGTCTGATCACGGCTCAACTGTTTGCAGAGTTCAATTAAATTGGGAGCTACATTGAAAGAAAGAGAATTCTCGGTGATAAACGAAGTTATTAATACCTCTTGGTGTGCTTGCTTTTCTTGTCACTATATCCAATGGCCGAGCATCAGTCTCCAGTAAGTCATCAGTATTTTTTGAATTAGCATAATTACTTAAAGTCATTGAATGTCTAATGCACTTTGAATATTTTATGTGCGTCACAGTTTTAGAATGATTTGTGAAAGCCTTGAATCATGAGATAGTTGCTCATGATATCGGACCGCTCAAAATGTGTTAACATAATGTGACCGATCAAAAATTTTGAAGCCAGTTAGGATATTTGTAACATAAAAATATTTTTTATCTTGAAGATGTAATTGGAAATCTTCAATCCACAAATTTTATATTTAGCAAAGAACATTTAAGTAATAAGAAGTGACAATTTCGGCATTTCACACATTGCACAATTAAAATGCTACAAATTTCTCATAATATAATTTTATTCATTTGCCCTATATTTATACACAAATATGAAAGAAATTATTACTTTTATAATTTATTTTTCACTAAAACTGAATAGTGTATAAGTGTAATGTCAAATCACTAATATTTTGTTCATATCAGATAGGAATGCATTAGAGTAATTGCATGCTTTATTTTTCTTGAAGTCAGTACAGAAAGCAAAAGTATTTTGTATGAAATATATATTGTCATCAAAATGGACAATATGCTAAGCAAAATTTTGAAGAAAATCTTCAATACACAATCAACTAAATTCTAATTAATAAAATTTTCAAAACTTGCAATCAGCACAATTTTATATAATTATTACTACAAGAACTTCTTCATTCCTTTTCAGCAATATGATTTTTTACATTATCACTTCTTGATTTTAACTCAATCAAGAAGTGATACTGTACTTTTGCACATTAATCAGACATTTTCTATTCTGTTGATTTTACCATAGACTTAACAATGATTTTAAATCATTTAATGTTAAGTCATTACATTTTTATTTTACAGCCTATCAGCATCAATACATTAATGTACTCACTATTAAAGCATCTTCTTCTAACCATTCTACAACTTCTAAAATAATGGCGGCAAGCATATTAAATCCTTGGCAGTAACCAACATTAGGATTCCATCTTGCATATCCTAACAGAACTCTTTTCAAATGTGTCTGATTTTGTTCAGCTACATCTCCACTAAATGGACTACAACCTGTACGATGAAGATCCTGTAAAAAAATTAATAAATAAATAATATATATATGTTTATTTAAAGTAAGAAATTTAGAACTAATATTTCACAAAGACTAAAAATTTTAATTCATAGTTAATAAATTTCAAATAATCTTATAAATGCAACAAAGAATTTTAAAAATGTTAAAACCAAAACTTTTCAAACAAGCAAAACCCCATTTCAAAAAATTAATGAAGTTTAATGAAAAATGAACAAAAACAGAAGAGGAATTCAATTAATTTCAAGGTTAATTCGCCAAGGAAGAGGAACATTGAAATCAATTGAAATCTCTCTTCTACAAAAATCCTTGCTTTTCTCTATCCAGAATTAGCTGATGAACCATATCAATGTATTTTAACTATAATAGTTCAACCGAAAATTCTGGCCCTTTCCCAAAGCCAGGAAAAAACAAAGTAAATTCTAATTAGAATAATTAGAATTAGTACAGAATAATAATTAGAGAATTTAATAAAGATAATTCTATTTTATTAAAAGAATTGAAAACGAAAGTGAAAAAACAAAATACTTCAGTGATCTGCCAGCTTAATGCACAAAAATATTAGACATGTTTATATTTTGTTTTCAAAAGTATTATTTTCTAAATATATATATGGTGTCTTAGCAATTCGGTTACAAACTTTCAGGAAAGACAGAGCACACCTGAATTATGAAAAATCACATAGCAATGCATGGTTGGAAGCGCTTTCCTGGCATGATAATGAGACAACACAAAACACAAAAAACGAAGGGCATGAACAGTGTGAGAAAACATGTTTATTATGCTTAGTACAGCAGAAACCAAGAAATGAAAATAAAAACTGAACAGCAGTTGTCATCAAAGAAAGAATTAAATTTTATGACATTGAAAATAAGACCCCCAACCGTGATGCAGGCCTCATATCTCCGACGCATGGAAGATCTGATGTTCTGGAAAATATATCGCATATCTCGGACTTCCTGAGCAGCTGCCACGATGAAGGTAAAAAGTTCCTGAGCACTGTTAATGGGGGTTTTGTACACCAGTGTCTTGATGTACCTCCAGAGAAAGTAGTCAATGCAAGTGAGGTTTAGCCATCTTGCTAGCCAATGCATTGAACCACCCCTGCCAAACCAGTGTTAAGGATAAGGAGCATTCATATGGAGATGCCATCAAGGCTGTTAATGTATGCACAAATTTAACATTCCCAACATTTTAATAGACTGAGATTAATAAACATGTTTTCTCACACTGATTATATCTGTCCTTTGTGTTTTGTGTCATCACTACCATGCCAGGAAAGTGTTTCCGATCATGCATTGCAATGTAATTTTCCATCATCGAGGTGTACTCTATCTTTCGTGAAAGTTTGTAACAACTGTTGAAACACCCTGTATATATATATATATAGGGCGTTTCAACATTACTTATATATATATATGTAAAAATCACAATCTTTATTTTTTTACACATATCAAATCATCCTTTTTCAGACAAGATGTTTCCTAATTATATTTGAATACAGCAGTAAGTTGCATTTTGAAGTACAACGTCGTTTTAAGCAAGTAAGCGGCAGCAGCATACATAAAAAGCATCTTGCTGGCAGGAGAGCTTATGCGGAAAAGGGTAAGAGTTATACTACTTTCAGAGGAAGAAGATTGGGAGTGAGAAAGTTTCAGTTCAGAGTTTTGGTTTATAATTAATTTGATTGGACAAGAGACATTCTGCATTAGAACATAACGTAAGATAAAAAAATTCTGGAACCTGTGAGAAGAGATGAAATTAAGGGCAATTATTATCAAATTTAGAATGTTAATTTTGAGGTCGCCATATTTTTTTTTTTTTTTTGAAATAGCTATCATATTTTGTTATATCTTACACACACACACATATATATAAGTAAAAATAAATAGAATATATATATATATAATCATCTAAAGCACAATTTGTGTATTTATAATAAATTTATTTTCAAAGTTACTTTCTAAACATATCCTAATACATAATTTCTTGAATTCTTCAATGCACTTTCTTCCCCCACCCAACATCTCCAAAAAATACAGTACACTTTAAATTCACAGTTTTGTCCATTTTTTTTTTTAATGTATAGCTCAGCTTTCATTAAAAAAACATTCTTTTCACCTTGAACATCAATTCTGATGGTTCAAAAGGCAATGTATTATAGGATAATGAGAATGTATAAGGCTCAGAAGAAAATTTGACTCTGAAAGAGACTCTAATATTGTTTAAGATCCAGATCAACAATACTGAGATACCGATCTACAATACTGAAATTCAGATAAGTAATAAATTACATACACATTGATAGACAGGTATTATTAGTGTTATCAAATAGAATTCTTTATAATAAAATATTTACTAGACATATTTTAACATTATATTTTGTTTATTTAATTTTTCTAGAAAGAAAGAAGCATTCTTTTCGTTAAAAATAAAGTAGAAAAAAGTAAATTCCTGCTTGCTTATATTTTACAAAATAAAACAAAGTGATAATAGAAACATATATATCTAACTTCAGAATAAATTTTTAATAAATTTAATAATTATCATTAGAGATATATTTTTCACATTTGCATTTATTTTTTTTAATTCTTAATTAGTTAATATTATAAGCAATGACACAGCAATACTTAACAGAATTATTGTAATTTATTATTTTACTTCTAACAGGTCACCATTTACTAATGGACTAGGTAAAATTACACCATTTAATTTAAAACTGAATTTTGACAAAACTTTATAGAATTACACCTATTTTCAAAACCGAAATGATTATTAGTACGCTTAATGTTACTATAGTGCAAATATTTCAATTAAAATTGAAGAATTCAATTAAAATTGAATTAAAATTAAGAATAACAATTCTTCATGTCAAAAAATGCACTGAACAAATTGAATAATTTAATTTTCATTAAAAGGGCAGATAAAAAGTTCTAATATTTTTATTCTTTTAATTTAGGAACAACAACCAACTCTCTTTAGTGCAACCACTCTTGGTTCCGAAAGATTTTGATCTTCCCTGAAGACAGTCAACTAAGAGAACTGATGCTTATTGATGTTCTGAAATGCCGATCACTTTCAGAGATGTCCACCAGCATTCAAGCAGTATAGCCATTGATTACAGATAATTCAATCCAGGTTCAAATTGCAATTAATGAGCCAGCTGCATGGGACTTTTTTTTTTTTTTTTTCAGTTTCCCCATGTGCAATATGAATGCGAGTCAGTTTTCTTTAGAGCAATGATCGCCAAACTGTCGATCATGACCTACTCATAGGGTAACTCAACTAACGCTCAAGTTGGCTAACCATTCCTCTTTTGAGCTGACGCTGATGACAACTGTCATTCTCAGCCTCATGGTTGATTGTATATGCATGAAGTTGAGCACATTATGTGTTTCGTGTTTATCTTAGACATTTGCTAACATGGATAGTTTGATTTATGCAAGCTAGGTCTGTTCTAACGATGGCGTGTTCAAGCAAAAAGCAAAGAACTTATCACTTTCATTCGGAATGGGAAATCAATTACTTCTTTACCCAGATAACAGACAAATGTGTGTATTTATGGTGCTATACAAATGTATCAGTTTGTAAGAAAGTAATGAATTCAACAAACGCTTCCAAGATTTCAAAAGGATTTCAATTGTTTGTCAAATCGCTTTTTTAGAGATCAATGTTGAAGAGTTCTGTACTTGTGTAATGGAGTATTTTGATTTTTCAAGAACACAATCAGGCAGTGGAGTTGGTATTGATTGATTCTCAAGATGACTTATGTGTAAAATCGCTTTCTCCAAGCCCTGAAAATATTTGGCTTCTTGATCCTAAAAAAAAAAAAAAAAAAAAAAAAAAAAAAAAAAAATATATATATATATATATATATATATATATATATACACAATTTTCGTCTAGGTTTGTCTCAAATCGAAGGCAATATTTAGCTCTACATATCTGTGTGAGATTTCTTTTTCCAGTATGAAATTTATCAAAAATAAGTACAAAAACAGACTCACTGATAAACACTTAAACAACTGTATTATAATGGCAGCCACTATCTATTTTCCCAACACTAAAAAACTTGTTGATGACAAAAAGGAGTTCCATGCTTCTCATTAAAGTTAATAAGTCTGATAACAAAAAATCTGTCATATTTGTTATTTATTACTAACTACACTACTTAAACTTCTTTCTTATGTACAATTCAATGCCAGTTTCTTTTCGTTATATACATTTTAATTAAAACTAATTTCATATTTATTAGAAATGTAAGTTTATAGGCAGTTAACAAATCTAAGATTGATTTTTTTTAATTGGTAGTTCATAGTAGGATGTAAAAGCTGTACAGTAACTTAGAAGCTTCATAAGTTTGGCAAACCACTGCTTTAGAGTTTTTCATGAAGACATCTCTTCCTTTATGCAGATAGCAACTGTATGCTTTGTTATGATGCTTTTGGTTGGTAGTTCATAGTAGGATGTAAAAGCTGTACAGTAATTCAGAAGACAAACAACAAAAATCAGCGTTATATTTACAAAATTTCCACAGGACTAGTTTCGATGGTTTTACCGAACCACCATCCTCAGCTGCAAAACCGCAAATGAACAAGATAGGAAAAAATGATTAGATAAGATAAGAAAGGCCTGGACAAGAATAAGCGAGTGGCGCCATCTGTTGGTGAAACCAGAACTAAAACATAATTTCTTTAAAGGCCGAAGGCAAATTTGGATTGGAATTAGGATCGTTAACTACAACAGAAAGATTTTTATGAATGTGAAATGCCTCTAGAAAATCCAGTTCTCCAATGGAAGATGTTTTTTGAATAATTTTGGCAGCAGAAAAATTGAAAGTGTGATTTTTGGACCAACAATGTTGCACAACAGAAGACTTCTGTGTTTCCTTTTTTCTAACATATGCCTCATGTTCCTTGACGCGAAATTTTAAGGCTCTCTTAGTTTGGCCAATGTAAATTAAACCACACTGGCATGCATTTTGTTGCACATATTTT